AGTTAGAAAGTACTGTAATGGTTCTTAGGACTAGGGGAATGAAGAGATGCAAGGGTAATAGCTAGACTAGAGTATATGGTTTCTTTTTGAGGTCGTGAAAATGGTCTAAAATTGACTGATGATAGTTTTCTATATCTGAATATACTAAATAAACAGTTGAATTGTACAATTTATATAAGTAAATTATATGGAGTGTGAATTATATCTTAGTGGAGCTTTTTTTAAAAACAAAAAAAAGCCTACTGTGTGATCTCCACTGATTAGTATTTATGACTTATGCATTGCTGAGGCCAGATCTGATGAAGGAATAGAGAAGGAAATAAAATAGTGAGATTTTGCTGTTCTGTTCATGGAATGAAATGGCTGTCAGGGAATCTTTTCTCGCATACTTATCCATAGAATTACCTAATAGAGGTGACTCAATTCTGAAGACAAGCAACTCGTGTGTACATTTTAATACACCACTTTCTATGTTTGCCTCGAATGATAGAATTTTTTTCTAGGTTTATAAGTAAAATATAAAGGCCTGAATATAATCTCTTTTTTTTCTCCCCCCACCCCATTTGTACTTTAAAGGGAGTTTACACTGGGAGAGTACTTACCCTTCAAGAATTATTGATCCAAGTTGGGAAGTTAAATGCTGAAGCTGTTAGAGGTCAGTGGGCCAATCTTTCTTGGGAATTGCTTTATGCCACAAATGATGATGAGGAACGTTATAGTATACAAGCTCATCCACTATTTTTAAGAAACCTTACAGTACAAGCGGCTGACCCTCCCCTGGGATATCCAATTTATTCTTCAAAACCTCTCCATATACATTTGTATTAGAGCTTATTTTGAATTGTATAGTCATCAAATGGGATGTCTTTATTTTTTCATTCTAGAAGAGTAACTGGGTGATTTTGCAAACTTCACTGACCTTCCCTCTCTCTTCCCAAAAGTCAGATGCCTGGGAAAAGCTAAGCTCTATAAGTTGATTCTCTTAGCTATCTTAAGGGGGGCAGGGGGGAAGGACTTTGTCTAACATAAAAGTTAGAACTATTGGCCAATATTTGTGCCCTATGGATTGTGGTAGGCTTTGTTAAATATGAAGCATTTGTATAAAATTAGAAAATGACTTTTTAATGCTTTCTTAAATGTGTGATAGGTGACTTGACTTACAAAAGTCAACTACTATGTAATTTTTACATACTTAAAAAGATATTCCTATCAGTGTTTTTAAGTAATGATAACGGTGCTATTAAAAGTTACATAATGTATATATATTTATTTATTTGAAATGCAATTAAATTTTTTAGTATTTTCAAACTTTGTGCTGTTTTATTTTAATATTTAACATGGTCTGAATGACTAAATGTTTTCATATAATTATTTTCTTTTCATATACTTCAATTCAGAAACCATAAACCATCTAATCCACTCCCAAGATTTAAAATATCAATAAATTAAGGATGTTCAAATATACAAAGTAGGGCAAAAGTAGGTTTACAGTTTTGAGTACATGAAAGAGTTCATTCTTGTTATTAATTAATTGTATTACTAGAGGCCCGGTGCATGAATCCATGCACCAGTGGGGTCCCTTGGCCTGGCCTGCAGGATCGGGCCAAAATCGGCTTTTAGACATCCCCCAAGGGGTCCCGGATTGCGAGAGGGCTCAGGCCAGGCTGAGGGACCCCACCAGTGCACTATGCGGGGGCGGGGGAGGTTGGCCAGCCAGGGAGGGACCGCGGGAGGGCTCCAGGGCATGTCCGGACTGTCTCATTCAGTCCTGATCTGCTGGACCCCAGCAGCAAGCTAACCTACCCGTCAGAGCATCTGCCCCCTGGTGGCCAGTGCACATCATAGCGAGTGGTTGAGTAGCCTTAGCATATCATTAGCATATTATGCTTTGATTGGTTGAACGGCCAACTGGCTGACTGGACACTTAACATATTAGACTTTTATTATATAGGATTTTACATACGAACTGTAAAACTACTTCTGCCCCACCCTATATTTATGTAAAATCAACCTCTTTTCTTTGCACTTATAAGTTAGTTTTCTCTATCTGATGTATTCAAAAGTGACCTTGTTGAATTTTCCCTAAAACCTGATTTTCTGACTTCTACTTTTAGTAGTGTCTAGGTAATCCACAGCAGCCATCTCACAGAGAACAACTAGTAAAGCTGGGCAAAATAATATTTTAAACTAAACTTAAAGGTATCAGAGGACCAATAAGATAATGAAGAATTACATCAACAAGATCCAAGGCAAAATGAAACTTAGACCTGAGTTCAGCAGTTGGGCTGCTTCTCTTCTAGGAGCATTTGCAGTTCAGGAGGGAAGTGGTTGAGAACCTGAGAAGCTAAACACTTTTATAGCCTTGCTGTGTAGTTAAAGGGATAAAAATTGGAGTCCAGAGCTCTCATAGGAAGGGAGGACTTGAGTAACTGACCACACATAGGATTGGGACCTCAAAGACTACATCCTAATTTTAAGGGTGAACAAAAAATAGATGCAGTTTGAATCTTCGCAATTCCTAAACTGGATTAAGGTGACCCTGGGTGCCTAGTGTACCTACCCACTACACAGAGCAAATATAATTCTTCTCTCAACTGACTTTTCAAGTTATTTTTATAATTTTTCAAATTTAGTACTAGACGATCTAAAATAAAGCACTTGAGGAGACAACATGATCAAAAGCCCAAGAAAAATGATAGCGAATATGAACATACTCACAGGGCATCCAGTTAGTGAGGTTTTTAAGCACAGGCTTAAATTATTACGCTTGGTACGTTTAAAGATATAAAACACAAAATTGAAAGTTTCAGCAGAGAATTAGACACTATACAGAAGAATTGGCAAATCTCAAACTGAAAAATATATTCATCAAGTTTAAGAACCCATTGGAGATAATAATTAAAAAATGAAATGTCAGTGCAAAATAATAAACTTTTAAAAAGTCAATATGGAAACACTTGGGTTCACAGTTCTTGACTATATTTGAGAAAATGTACTTTGACAAAAATCTGCCTTTCTGTCTTGGGCTGCTGACAAAAGAGCCTGAGGATTGGGGGTGGAGGGGGGGAGTTACATATAGGTATTAATTACATGCTATAGAAAAACACCATACGGATGAGTTTCTAAAAATCATTCAAATTATTTATACATCTTCTACCACTCATTGGCTGGTGTAATTAAGCAAACTGAATTCCCTTTTCCTTTATCCCCGTATTATGCTAATTTCAGTCTCTGTGAGTTTTCATTCGAGACATTCTGGAGGCAAAGAATGCCTGACTTAGAGAAGCTCAACAAGCCCTACCAGTGGTTCTCAACCTTCTGGCCCTTTAAATACAGTTCCTCATGTTGTGACCCAACCATAAAATTATTTTTGTTGCTACTTCATAACTGTAATGTTGCTACTGTTATGAATCGTAATGTAAATGTCTGATATGCAGAATGATCTTAGGCGACCCCTGTGAAAGGTTCGTTCAACCGCCAAAGGGGTCGCAACCCACAGGTCGAGAACCGCTGCAAAACGTTGGCAAGTACAATGCCAAGCACTGAAGATTCAATGACAAGTAAAACAAAACTGCCCTGGACCCCTACCACCTAAAGCCTCTTTTGGTATAAATGCCACCCTTGAAAGGCTTAGTGCAAGTCACACCTTCTGTGTAAAGTTTCCACACTAATCCATCCACACATTTCTCCCTTTTCTGAACTTTGCACTATAGTCTGTACCATGCCACACGTTATTTTGTACCATTGTAGAATTGTTCCACAATCTGTATTTTTGGTTTTACCCCAGATGCAGTGTTGATTTATTAATCATAATTTCCATCACGTTTATTACATTTTATCCCCATACTACACCCCCCATTTCTCTCCCCATCCTAAGCAATCATTGTAATACATCTGTTTATCTTTTCTTTGTGTTTTCTTGCAAAATGAGCACTACCTTCTTTGCACATCAATTTGTGTATAAATATACTTGTGTTCTTTCTTCACTCATCATCATGTTTCTAGGACAAATCCATGTTGCTGTGTCCATTTATTCCATTGCTTTTACTTGCTGTACCCCATGGTGTACCTCCATCATCCCCCTTTCCCAAGGATAGCCACCAGGGTGGCCTCAAACTTCAACAACTATTCTACAGTTACTTTATGTATGTTACCTTGGCTATAGCTAAACTGTGAACTGCTTATAAAGAAGAACCATGATTTTCTCCTGTTATACCCCCCTTTTGACAGTAGATAGTTAAGGAATATTTGTTGATTTTCTATTGTGGCCTATGCATGTTATCTACTGTAAGGTGCTAAAGATTAAAGTAAAATTAATTATAGAGTAAGGGGTTACCAATGGATTCCTCCTGGAGTTTAATCTTGACTTTACCCCTTACTAGCCCTGGGACCTTGGGAAAGTAATACCGACTTGCTTTGGGCATGTTCTTTCTTCCTCTACAAAGGAAGATAATACCACCTACTTTAGTGTACTTTCATGAGGAATAAATGAATTAATAAAAAGCACCTCAGCCCTGGCCCGTTTGGCTCAGTGGGTGGAGCGTTGGCCTGCCGACTTAAGAGTCCCGGGTTCGATTCTGGTCAAGGGCACATGCCGGGTTGTGGGCTCGATCCCCAGAAGTGGGTGTGCAGGAGGCATCCAACCCATGACCTCTCTCATCATTGATGTTTCTATCCCTCTCCCTTCCTCTCTGAAATCAATAAAAATATATTTTTTAAAAAGCACCCCAGTACAACAAATAGCATATTAACAGGTGTTTTATAAATCATGGCTGCTAGGAGTACTACTTCCTGTCAATTCTTCTAAGAGAGTGTAAGCACCTTGGTGGCAGGACCATTTAGATATTTCTTCACATATGCTCATTACCCAGCACTCAGCTTCGTGGAATAGTCCCTACATTTACATTAATGGATTTCTATAATTCTTTGATTAGCATTCCACTAACGTAGATTTTAAGCATAAATGCCAGAGTACGTTAAAATGCTCTCTTATCCAAGAATGTAGTACGTATTACCATCTTTATTGAAAGTGTCAGAGTAATCTTTTATTTGTTGTTTATTACATGTTGGAAGGGAAGTTGTATGTATTAAGAAGTAAATTCACAAGTTGGTCTTCTGTGCACAAGAAGATGGCTGTTTTCATGGTTTCCATTTCTCCCTCCAGTGGCTTGAAAATGCAAGTACTCTGTCAGTCATGTTTTGTCTTCCAGATTTTACAATAAGAAGAATCTGCATCCTGAAACAAAGTGACAGCAACATGAGTCAGTGCCACCTTGAATTTACCCCCGTTTTTGACAATTCCTTCTGTTTTAAGGAGCTCTATAGTTATGATTCACTGTTGAGAATCCTTATAAAACCTGAGCAAATGCTTAAATTAGAATAAAAATCATAGCTAAAATTCTAGATCTAGAAAATGGACTTAGCATCATTATCTCCTCTATCACTGGTAAGCATCTGCTCATGCCATTTTGTGAAATCTCTATTACTCCTCTAGAGTAGCATACCTACACTGATTTGTCTTAATAATTACAAAGAATCAGAATATTTAGAATAGAAATATTTGATAGATGACTCTAAAATGTCTTGTGAACTTTTAGTTCTATTGCTTAAAATAGAAAACAAAGCAACTCATTCATCCCTAAGGATGTAACATTTCATTTGGGAAGATACGCATTTACCACTTCCAAGAACTTGCACTAAGACAAAAAAATAAAACACAAAATTCAATGCAGCTATTGTTCTTGATTTCTTAAAATAATAAAAATTCATCAAAGTTACAGACATAGTGTTCCTAGCCTCAAGGACAGAAACAAATTCAAGTACTACTGCCAACTACATTTAATTTGGAATAAAGCTATATTAGCATTCTCTTAACTTAGATACTTATAAACAAATCAAATTAAGGAGATGGATATATGTAATAGAAAATAATGTGGAGGAAAGAAGCAGGGAGGAGAGAATTGAGGAAAAAAAGTGAGAAACAATTTTTTAGTTCCCATGGTTTTGTGTAAAGAATGAGGTATGATATCTCAGAAATGGTAGTGGGAAACAAAATGATGTCCAGTTTATCCTTAAAAAGTAATAAAGCAGTAAGACCATGTAATAAACAATATATTAAAGACAGTGGTAGGAAGAGAAAGGCCATTACTGTTAGCAAAGGTTAGATGTAATCAAATGCTAGATTTACTGAGTGATGTTTATATTTATAGTTAGATATTGTGTAAATAAAACAAAATAACATCTGCTACAGTAGGACTGAAACTCTACCAGGGGTGGGCAAACTTTTTGACTCGAGGGCCACAGTGGGTTCTTAAACTGGACTCAGAAGAAGGAGCTGCGGCCGTGTTTCCCGACGTTGCCATGTTAACACTGCTGCTGGTGAAGGAGCGGAGGGGAGAGCAAGAGAACCCTCCGCTCTTTCGGCTCAGCGGGCCGGATAGAACAGCCGAACGGGCGGATCCGGCCCGCGGGCCATAGTTTGCCCATGGCTGCTCTAGCCCCTGGTCCTTCTTTTCCCTCTGAAACAACTATTTCTATAATGTACTATCTCTCTGGCCTCTTATTTAACTTTGATCTGCACTATCTATTAGCTTAGTATCCCTGTACCATCAAAATGAAAGCATTAACAGCTAATCCTTAGTAAGTATAACATTCCACATGTGTTTTTAGAGTTTTCCACATACTCATTCAATCTCAATGACAATACTATGACTAGATGCTATTGTCATCAGTAATCTCGTTTTGTAGATGGGGATATTGATTAACAGAGAAGTAACTTGCCTGAGATCTTGGGACCAGTAGGGTAGCCTGGCACCAGGATGCCGTCACCTCTAGTAAGATAGACTTTCCCCCTGGATTCTTATCCATCAGTGGGCACAGTACCACTCTATCAGCTGTACTCCATAAAACTTAGATGTTATCTTTGATGAAGTTCTACCTTTAGACCCATCTTACACCACCAAACCCCAACATTACCAAAATACTTATAAACGATGTGGCCCAAAGAAAACTGGTCCATAGTACAAGTTGGTAGAAAATGTGTAACTCCTCCCCCCAACCCCCTCACCTTTATGGTTTTTCAAGCTCCGGAGAGGTTAGTGCAGTATGGAAGTTTTATAACCTTTAAGTCTTTTTAAGCATTTTGTTTTAAGCATTTTTGCTTTTTTTCACTAATTCATTTTACTATCCTACAAAAAGTTGAAGTAAAATAAATGTATGGCAATTCATGGATTGCTTAAATAGTGGTAGGTTATATAATGATACACATGGTATGATCCCATTTTAGAATTCTCTTTATATATCGAGAGGCCCGGTGCACAAAAATTTGTGCACTCGGTGGGAAGGGGGTCCCTCAGCCTGGCCTGTGCCCTCTCGCAGTCTGGGACCCCTCGGGAGATAACGACCTGCTGGCTTAGGCCTGCTCCCGGGTGGCAGAGGGCAGGCCCAATCCCTAGGTGCAGCCCCTGGTCGGGCTCAGAGCAGGGCCGATTGGGGAGTTGGGGCGCCTCCCCCTGTCATGCACAGAGCAGGGCAGATTGGGAAGTTGCGATGCCACCCTCAGTCACGCTCAGGGTAGGGCTGATTGGGGGGTTGGGGCACCGCCCCCTGTCACACTCAAGGCAGGGTCAATGGGGAGGTTGCGGCGCCACCCCCTATCACGCACAGAGCAGGGCCAATCCGGGGGTTGGGGCGCTGCCCCGTCACACACAGAGCAGGGCCCATCAGGGGGTTTGGGGCTCCGTACCCTGTCACGCACAGAGCAGGGTCGATCAGGGGTTTGGGGAGCTACCCCCTGTCAAGCACAGAGCAGGGCCCATCAGGGGGTTGGGGCGCCGCACCCTGTCACACACAGAGCCGCAGGGCAATCAGAGGTTGGGGAGCTCCCCCGTATCAGGCACAGAGCAGGGCTGATCAGGAGGTTGGGGTGTCTTCCCCTGTCACAAACAGAGCAGGGCAGATAGGGAGGTTGTGGCCCCACCCCCTGTCACACACAGAGCTACAGGGCGATCAGGGGGTTTGGGCGCTGCCCCCTGTCACGCTGATCCCGGTGCCGGGAGGCCTCTCGGCTCTGCTGATCCTGGTGCTGGGAGGCATATTACCCTTTTTCTATATAGGATAGAGGCCTGGTGCACGGTTGGGTGCCGGCTGGTTTGCCCTGAAGGGTGTCCTGGATCAGGGTGGGGGTCCCCACTGGGGTGCCTGGCCAGCCTGGGTGAGGGGATGATGGCTGTTTGCAGCTGGTCACACACCCTTCAGGGTGGGGGTCCCCACTGGGGTGCCTGGCCAGTCTGGGTGAGGGGCTGAGTGCTGTTTTCAGGCCAACTGAAGCTCCCAACCGCTCCTTTTTTTCTTTTTCTTTTTTTTATTCTGGGCCAGCTTTAGCTCTGAGGCTCCAGCTCTTAGGCCTCCGCTGCTGAAAGTAGGTATCTGGTTTGTTTCGGTTTGAAACAATGTATAACTCCAGCTCTGACTCCAGCTCTGAGATATATTTGTTAAAATGTTTCAAACTGCAGGCTCAGAGGCCTGCAGCGGCAGGCGGGGAACGTTGGAGTCCTCCGTCACTGAAGCAAGCAAGCCTCATGTTAGTTTCAAGCTGCCTGGCTGCCGGCTGCCATCTTGGCTGACAGTTAATTTGCATATCGCCCTGATTAGCCAATGGGAAGGGTAGCGGTCGTACGCCAATTACCATGTTTCTCTTTTATTAGATAGGATCCCTACTAAATTCTTTCTTTAAAAAAGTAGTATCACTCAGAGACATACTTCAACAATAAAACCATCCTGCCCTGACCAGTTTTGCTCAGTGGATAGAGCGTAGACCTGCGGACTGAAGGGTCCCAGGTTCAATTCTGGTCAAGGGCATGTCCCTTGGTTGTGGGCACATCCCCAGTAGGGGGCGTGCTGGAGGCAGCTGATCGATGTTTCTCTCTCATTGATGTTTCTAACTCTCTATCCCTCTCCCTTCCTCTCTGTAAAAAACCAATAAAATATATTTTAAGAAAACCAAAAAAACAAAACCATTCACAGAAATAACCTTTCTTTGTGTAACCAGATCTATAATTTTTGGCGTAACTCCTTACATTTCCTGTGCTGTTTATATATTTAACTCTTTTGTTGGTCACAATTTTCTCAGAAACAGTTCATAATATTCCTCACTTTTCTAAAGAATGACTGTTGAATGAGTGATCAGCATATTTTCTTAGACGTGGACATAGGCACAGCTCACATGTGCAGAGTGCTTCTGGATCAAGTCAAAAGAACCAGCACTACCCAGTGAGAGTGCATCAGTTTTAACAGCACAGTAACTGGTAAGCACTGGGCAAAGTTCACGTGGTCCTGGGGAGAAATAAGAGGGGAGGCCAGATACCAACCCATGGAGGGGACACCAGAGCTGAGACTTATAGGATGAGTAAGCGTTTGTGAGGAGAAAGCGCGTTTGGCACATACACTGGTCAAACAATGAGTGTAGAAGCAAAAATGGCAATCTCTGATTTGATTTTAACCTTGTAGAAAACTTTTTTCTCCAAGACCAGTAGTAATTTATAATAAACCAACAGATATGCATGGGGCATAGAATACGTCTAGTATCTTTTGTATTGATATCATGAGATTAGTGCAGAGTTAGTAAGAAAAGTTTTTAAGCACTAGAAAATTTCATACTTTCCTAAAGATTGATATGTATTAAGAAACTTATAAATTGTTCTTACCAGACCCTTCTTAAAGTTCTCAATCCTTTTCTTCCCTAATTTGTTTGTTACCCACAAGGCCCAGGTTGGCATATACTGCCACAAATACGCCATTGCCAAGAAAGGTTGTTCCGAAATCCAAACTTCTTTCAAGTCATTGGCCATGCAGATTAACATCAGCCGCACGCACCGACTGGTCACCATCTTGTAGGACTGGTCTCCATCACTATGCACAGCCTAAGAAATATTTTAAAAATTAAGTGAATGGTGAGTATTTATACAAGGTATTTCACAGAACTTTTAAGCTAGAAAGGACCCAGAAGTCATCTAGTTGACTTTTTAATGTGACCTCATACCTCTTCAGACCCCAGTGGATACTAATAGGTGTCTATATTATTCCCAAAAGCCTAACAGGAAACACACACTTACCAGATAAGATTGTACAGGCTAACTAAAAGATGAAGGTTTTTGGCTTTTAATTACAATTGTATCATCTTTTTTTTTTTTTTTAATATATTTTATTGATTTTTTACAGAGAGGAAGGGAGAGAGATAGAGAGTTAGAAACATCGATGAGAGAGGAACATCGATCAGCTGCCTCCTGCACATCTCCTACTGGGGATGTGCCCGCAACCCAGGTACATGCCCTTGACCGGAATCGAACCTGGGACCTTTCAGTCCGCAAGCCGACGCTCTATCCACCGAGCCAAACCGGTTTCGGCTACAATTGTATCATCTTAATGTACTTAATGATAATTATATATCACTTTAGTAATAAAAATCTTTAAGCAAATTAACACATACATTTAACAAATGGAAGTCTATAAAACATAGAGTCCATGGGGGTAAAACAGCAAAAAGATAAAAGTGGTTTCTTGGTAGTGAACAAATCTGGCACTGCTCATCTAATTAACCCACTACCATTCTATCAATAAACAAACTGAGGCCCAGAAAGGTAGCAATTCATCCGTGCTCACACAGATCATTACAATAACCAGGTCTACATGCCAAGTCCCTTGATTCCTATAATTGGGTGATGATTCTATTTTACCTTAGAACCTCCACAAAAAATGTGAAAATATAAATTATATCTGTTAACATTTACATAGAAGCATATACAGACTTATGTCTCAGTAGAAATAGATCTTAATGAAGAAGGAAAATGTCATGGTTTTTAGAGGGATTTTGGTATTACTGAGCGACACTGGATTCTTCGTGAGACGTGTGCTATTCATTTGATAAATCACTTTGTGATGTGTAATCTGAGCTGAGGAAAACAGACTTGGGTGAGGCTAAAATAAAATTACCAAAAGTGTTTTTCTAAGCTCCTTCACTGGGATTCCTCTTTAAAAGCCCAGTCAGGTTAATATACTGAAATTCAGCCACACAGAACCTCTCAGTGTTGCTATAATTTATGAATTTATAGAAACTGGGTTTTTTAGATCACATAATAGTGGGTCACTTGCCAGTACTATCTCAGCAATTTCTTTAGCCTTTGTTAAAACTGGCTGCTAAAACACTCTCAGCTAACCTTAACAATTTTCCTAATGCTATGAGTTAAGGTTTATAAGTAAGTCATAAGCAGTTCTAACATGAAAACCTGAGGCACAGTGATACAAAACCTACATATGACTAGGAAACCATTCAAATTATACCCCAACAAGAAATGCTTACCTGTGTGGTATCATTGCGTAGGGAGTTCTTCACAATATTCGACTGCACTGGTCCTGGGTAAATGTTAGAAACTACTATACCTGGGTACGTGGCAAGTTCGGTTCGGAGGCCATTAAAAAAACCCTAATATAAAATAAAGCAAATAAAATAAATACAGACACATCTCATGAAATTACTTGTCTTTGACTATGAAGGACAATAAGCAGCACATTATATGTTCTGAAATGCCTGAATAAAGCACAGGAAATGTAATTGTGCAATCTTATTAGCCATTTTTAACCTTAAGACTGGAGGCAATCAAGAAAAGCATTCTCAGCTCTTTCCGGGTATGAGTGGCTCACCTGTTTGGATGTGGTGGATCAGGCCATCAGTGATTTTTAGGGTAGGCAAGCACTGGATAGGTGAAAAACTGCCCCCTGGAGATTCTGATACACCCTCCTTAGACCAGTCCCCATGTCCCCACTCCGAAAGGGGTGCATGTTTCCCACTGAAAATCACTCAGATTTGGTTTCTTTTTATCCTTCAAGGTGGTTTAAGGTGCCCATATTGGGGCAAGAGGGAGTGAGAGGGATTAGTACTTAACAAACTCTCAAGGAAAAATTCAACTTTTTATATTTATTACTAGTTTAACAGACAATTAGTTTCAGCCAACATCCATCTTTTCTGGGTGGTTAAGACCCTCTAGACCAGCGGTTCTCAACCTGTGGGTTGCGACCCCTTTGGCGGTCGAACGACCCTTTCACAGGGGTCGCCTAAGACCATCCTGCATATCATATATTTACATTACAATTCATAACAGTAGCAACATTACAGTTATGAAGTAGCAACGAAAATAATTTTATGGGTCACAACATGAGGAACTGTATTTAAAGGGCCAGAAGGTTGAGAACCACTGCTCTAGACTTAAAGATACTGGCCATTTCTAACCCAAACAGGGAGTAAACATCTTTCCCTAATCTCTTTTCCTAATTTAGGAAATGGTCCAAGACTAGAAGCTGAATTAACTACTGAAAAGCCTAAACAGCTAACCCAGGGTACATTTATCTGTGATCCAACAACATTAAATAGTTTTGCCAGCCCTTAATGCTGATCTCTAACAAATAGGGCCTGTGAGGATCCATGCTGTCAGAGACACACACAGTGCCTAACTCAGATGGACAGGGGAAAAGGCTAAGTGAATGAACTCCCAAAACCTTAGTTTTCCGCCCCGCTTTAGCAAAGGGGAGAGAGGACAGACACCATGAGAGCCAACACATCAAACATCAGCACCTCTCCTTGTTTGAAATCACACCTAGTATAGCGTGTGAACGTTTCAGTGATAAACAAGTTCACTCTACAGCTTGCTGGGCATCGAGGAAGGAAACGTGCTCTTCAAGGAGCCTTCTGGTTTCAGAGTTCAGCTACTGGTATAAGCAACTAGTCTCAATCTGCCACATGGGGTCAGAGCATCAAGTCCAGTAACAAAACAGTGAGTCTTGGAGGGCAGGCCAAACACCTCACATTATCTGACTGAAAACATCCTGCATGTCTTATGAGATACTTGGTGCCAAACAGATGGTGTAGCTGCTTTCCCTCATCTACCAGCCTGAGACTTGCCCAACTGCTCTGCAGGAAGTGGCTGATACCTTATAGTGCCAGATATGAGGAAATCATCAGTGTAGCATTCCATTGCATCACTCTCTTCAACTGTCTACTTTCCACAACAGAAAGGACGTCCTAAGGAACTAAAGCTTCAAATTTTCATGAAGCTGATGATCAGTCAGCTATTCATCTTATTATTCCAACAGTGAAACATTCTATGTAAACTGACCTTCAACAGCATTAATTATAAATTGTGTGTCTCCTTTAATCATTCTTCTCCTCTTGGCCTTATGATCTAATTTGTTCCATGTTGCACTTTAATAACATTTCTTCACATCCACTCTTAGCCAACATTAAAAATTCATACGTTTCTAATATTCACATCTCATAAGTTAAGCAAACCAAACCAAGCTTTTCTCCTAGCCTCTGTCTTGACTAGATTTTCTTCTTCCAATGCACCCAGGGTAAATTGAGTCAAAGCTAAACCCAGCAAGGGATATGAAGATCAAGGCTAAACATCTAGTGGGTAGTTCCTATTTTTGACATGCTTACAGATATATTTAGACCAGGTAAGATAAACCCCACCTAAAAGGGGAAAGGAAAAATAAGTCACAGAAATGGGGAGGAAACGTACATCCTGAAGTATGTAAAGAAGTGAGGGGTAGACCCCAAATTTGCCAAGAAGATATGGTAGGAATGAGGAGAAGGGGATGGGTGACATATTGACTAGACTATAATTCTTGAGGGCAGGGACCATATCTCATCTTTATATTCCCAGGATCTGTTGGCAGTGTATGACACAATGTAGGTATTCAATACATGTTTGGTGAATTACAAAGAGGCATGTGAGGCTTAAGTCTTTTTTAGCATTTTCTGGGAATGTCATCTATCAAAGGTCTCCTTGGGGTTCTCTCTGTCTCTCCACATCACGCCCAGTTCCAATGACCTCTTACAGTGATGGCCATATCCCCCCATGTACATTCAGGTCAGTTCTATCAAAGTTTGTTTGAGCAGACTTACCCGAAGAGCATGTTTGCTTGCACAATATCCACTGGAAAGGGGCGCAGCCATAATACCCATGACACTATTCACAGTTACAATCTTCCCTTGCTTCCTCTCGATCATGTGAGGCAGAACACACTTTGTCAAGGACACGGTTCCTAAGTAGTTAAGCTCTATCAGCTCCTTGTAGACATCCATGCTGGCTTCCACACACAGAGAACGCTGGGATCTTCCACCATTGTTGACCAGAATGTCGATCTAGACAGTACAATTAGAAAAGAGGCACTTTGGTGATGACCTGTTGATGGATTGATGGAATCCCTAGGGGTGGTTACTTAGACTGATAACTTGAAGAGTCACTGGAAAAGACTGGTGTATTTTCAGAGTCAGTAATAAAAATATAAAATAAAAATTAGAATTCATCCATGAAATTAAATTTCTATTTTAGGTGACTCTTTATGGAAAGTAATGTCATAAAAATAAAAGGCGCCCTGACTATTTTGACTCAGTGGCTAGAGCGTTGGCCTGTGGACTGAAGAGTCCCAGGTTCGATTCTGGTCAAGGACATGTACCTTGGTTGCGGGCACATCCCCAGTAGGGGGTGTGCAGGAGGCAGCTGATGGATGTTTCTCTCTCATGGATGTTTCTAACTCTCTATCCCTTTCCCTTCCTCTCTGTAAAAAATCAATAAGATATATTTTTAAAAAAAAAAAAAAGCCCTGACCATTTTGGCTCAGTGGCTAGAGCAGCCGTGGGCAAACTACGGCCCGCTTGAAATGAATAAAACTAAAAAAAAAAGACCGTACCCTTTTATGTAATGATGTTTACTTTGAATTTATATTAGTTCACACAAACACTCCATCCATGCTTTTGTTCCGGCCCTCCGGTCCAGTTTAAGAACCCATTGTGGCCCTCGAGTCAAAAAGTTTGCCCACCCCTGGGCTAGAGCGTCGGCCTATGGACTGAAGAGTCCCAGGTTCAATTCCGGTCAAGGGCATGTACCTTGGTTTCGGGCACATCCCCAGCAGGGGGTGTGCAGGAGGCAGCTGATCGATGTTTCTCTCTCATGGATGTTTCTAACTCTCTATCCCTCTCCCTCTCTGTAAAAAAATCAATAAAATACATTTTTAAAAAATTAAAAATAAAAAATAAATAAAAGGCACTGAATTTGTAGCTTCTTTTGTTCTACAAGGAGGAGTTAATATTTGTTAAGGTATGAAAAGTACTAATTTCACAAAGCCAACAACTCAGAGATTAAAAGGCCCAGCTCATGGGCCTTGATCTCACTGCATAGACCCATTTGCCTAAAGCCCTTTTAATGAAAGCACCACAAATGGGAATCTCTTTGCAGTTACTTCAAAGCAAAACATGTCAATTCAAAATGCTACTTACTTTACCAAACTCCTGCAGAACCGCTTTGGTCGCCACTTCATGCGAACTTATGTCAGTCAGGTCAAAGGGCAAAACAAGTATGTCTTTTCCTTTTAAATTGCCATTCTCTAAATAAAGACACTAAAAATTAGCGTGGAAGTCATGCAACAGTTCAATCAAGCTCTTTGCTACTTGCATTAACATCCATCCTACAACCAGACTTGGCAACAAACTCATTTCTGAGTGGTTCTGCAGAAGAGTTTCTCAGTGATCAAGAAGAGGACTGGTGGTAATGTGGCAACATCTTATCGGATAAAAGCTGGCTGGGTACACAGGAAATTGAATAGCTCTCCTCAACTTGTATATAAACAGTCTAATGTTGGAACAGACTCTAGAAGAAGTCAAGACAGTACTACATGCTAAAAAAAAAAAAAAAAAATTGCGAGGGATCAGTCCATGTGGCTCAGCAGTTGAGTGTCGACCTATGAACCAGAAGGTGATGGTTCAGTTCCAGGTCAGGGCACATGCCTGGGTTTTGGCCTCGATCCCCAGGAGAGGGTGTGTAGGAGGCAGCCAATCAGTGATTCTCTCTCATCACTGATGTTTCTATCTCTCCCTCTCCCTTCCTTTCTGAAATCAATAAAAATATATTTTAGAAAAATTTTGGGAGCAATTTCTTTAAAGTACAGAGGCACTTTTGTTTTATGATAAGTTCACAAAGTTAGTTGCTCTTTTACACACATTGAAAAACAAAGTTTATGCCGAAACCGGTTTGGCTCAGTGGATAGAGCGTCGGCCTGAGGACTGAAAGGTCCCAGGTTCGATTCCGGTCAAGGGCATGTACCTGGGTTGCGGGCACATCCCCAGTAGGAGATGTGCAGGAGGCAGCTCATCGATGTTTCTAACTCTCTATCTCTCTCCCTTCCTCTCTGTAAAAAATCAATAAAATATATTTTTAAAAAAAGAAAAAAAAAGAAAAACAAAGTTTATGCTTAAGATGAGGAAGAAGCTCAGAGCCCTCTGGTGACATGACACATAAAAGCTTCCTTCCAGAGGCTAAGGATCCCAGAAGCGCACAAGGAAAAATACATAATCCTGGAATTCCCAACCAGGAAACATGTTGGACTATATAGCCCTTTCTATTTCTGTTCATTAAAAAAAAATATTTTTCTCGTGAACTCTAACCTTGGAATACAATAAGTAGTGCCAGTAAGAAAAAACAAGCAAGTAGAGAGATATGTAAAGGCTTTATGGGCAAAGGAGTAAATTGTAAAACATTAACTATTTTAAAAGAAAGAGAAAAGTTTGCACCAGTTGTCTGACAGATAAAACAATCAGCTTCATTCCAACTAATAAATGCTGATACGATTCATTTTTGCCAGTACAGGAATTGCAGGTCTCGACAGCGGAAGAGCAACTACCATAAGAAATGGCCCAGCCCTGGCAGGTGTTTCCCAGTGGGTAGAGCATTGGCTGCACAGCAAAGGGTCACAGGTTCAATTCCTGGTCAAGGGCACATACTTGGGTTGCAGGTTCACTCCCCAGCTCCAGACAGGGCGCATGTGGGAGGCAACCAATCAATGTGTGCCTCTCACATCGATGTTACCCCCCCACACTTTCACTTTCAAAATCAATAGAAAAAATAAACTCAGGTGAGGATTAACAAACAAAACAAACAACAAAAGCAAAGAAAGAAATGGCCCAGGGCAGAAACACCAGAGGCCTTTGAACTCAGTGTCCTGAAATGGCCCTAGTAGCTTTCACAACTGACTCATTTCTGGGTGGTTAGTTCCATCAGCAAAGTGAAAGAAAGGTTTCTAAAGAATGATAGGTAGCCGAAACCGGTTTGGCTCAGTGGATAGAGCGTCGGCCTGCGGACTGAAGGGTCCCAGGTTCGATTCCGGTCAAGGGCATGTACCTGGGTTGCGGGCACATCCCCAGTGGGAGATGTGCAGGAGGCAGCTGATCAATGTTTCTCTCTCATCGATGTTTCTAACTCTCTATCTCTCTCCCTTCCTCTCTGTAAAAAATCAATAAAATATATTTTAAAAAAAAAAGAATGATAGGTAGATGACCAAAAAAAAGGTCTGCTGGAAAATTCAAAATTATCTCAGTTTAGATACTAAGTGTCCGTGAGAAATTATAACTTTATTACATAAGGCTGCTTTCAATGTGAACATAACTACGTTAAAACACAAACAAAAATAAATATTGTTGCAACATATAGCAATATGAAAATATTGTCTCAAGTTGCATTTTTTAAACTTCATCCTTTATAACAAAAATTTTATATCATCCTATATGACTTCAATATCTGACATTTTAGCAGAATGTGTCAGGATCCTTTCTAATTAAATTTCTGTGCTTAACATGTGTGTCATACATAAGAACCAAACTATTCCTTCTTTAAGTCAAAAATATAAAACATTTATGTGATTTCTAAAAATCCATCAACATTTGAGAGAATTGGTGGTCCCTCCCTAATGCCAAGAGGCAATGCAAAAAAAAGTAGAAAGGCAGTAGAAAAGGGGCAGAAAAAGGGAAGAAAAAGACAAGGGCAGCTAGTTAAGAGATGCCAAAAGGAAGAGGATTTGGGCCAAAACACTTGGAGCATTTGGAACCAGAATATACTGCCCAGGAAAATCCCAGTCTTACTGCTGAAATTCCCCGAACTGTATTTGAGTTTGGATTCTGATTTATTGCTGTTTCAGATTTACTTACCAAGGCATCTTCTTTTCACCCTTTCCAGCTCTTGCACTCTCCTGGCAGACAGCACCAGAGAAACTCCTAGTTTCGACAGCTGGTAAGCCAGCTCCTCACCAATGCCACTGGATGCTCCCGTCACCCACACCACCATGTCCGTCAGCTCCCATTCTATTGAGAAAGGAGTAAGGAGTGAGGGGAGAAAATAAGCTATGGATTACACCCATATCCAGAGATTATCCCCCCAAAAAAGTATTTTAAACCATACCCCTCATTATGAATATATAATGCGTGGAACTTAAAATTTTAAATATTCTGTTAATGGCCTTGATATTATGGTGATAGTCTCACAGATGTATACTTCTCCCCACACTCAAGTTGTTTGTAAAACTATGTGCATTTTTTTAAAAATATGTTTTTATTGATTTCAGGGCGAGGGAGAGATAGAAGCATCAATGATGAGAGAGAATCATGGATCGACTGCCTCCTGCACGCCCGCTACTGGGATCGAGCCTGCAACCTGGGCTTGTGCTCTGACTGGGAATTGAACCATGACCTCCTGGTTCATGGATCGAGGCTTAACCACTGAGCCACACCAACTGGGCTATGTGCACTTTTATATGATTATCATACCTCAATAAAGTGATTTTTAATTTTTTTATTAAATATCCTAAGAAAACAACTCCTACGCAATTAAAAAAAAGCATGGATATAAATCATATTGGTAACAGTTATCAATTCTTTTATTTTGTGTATTCAGACTCTTGGGTGAGTTTTCCAAACTTTACTTCAAGGTAAACCTTATAACTCCATGGTCTGACTTCAAGGCTCTACTCATCTATGTATTTGATGGAGAAAAAGTAAGGCTAAGTAAATAGAAAGTCTGCCTAGACTCACTTTCTCACTTTCCTTCTCCATAAAACGAGGGATTCAGATTAAGATGATTACTAAAGGTCCTATCCAGTTGTCAATTCTATTATTCTAATTTCTTGCAATGGAGGTATTGATAATGAATCTGAATATGCTAAGTCCTACTCTATGGTATGGCGAAACCACCCTGGACTTTGAAAGTCATACGTTCCCCCTCTGTCAGTCATATCTGATGCCTATCAAGTACAGGTCCTTTTGTAAAAATGTTCCCCCAAATGCCTCCGCTTTCATCCTAGGAGAATCCGGTGGTTCACCCACTATGAAATGCGTGACAGCGAGATGAAATGCTATACTCTGCTTGCCCAATCATGTTCTCATTAAATAAAAATGTTACAATAATAAAGCAATGACGAGTGATTTATCCTCCTTTTGTCCAATGAAAAAAAACTTGTTTGCAATGCAGGAGATGAGAGCCTCTGTCTCTCTGAAAGTGTCGAGTCACTGTGATGCAACATTCCTGTGTGCCTTATTCATCAAAATGTGTTCTTTATTTAAAAAATAGTTAATCCAGGAATCACTTAACATGTGCATTTCTGGTTTTCTATTAGAAACATTAAAAATCACGCCAAAACCGGTTTGGCTCAGTGGATAGAGCGTCGGCCTGTGGACTAAAAGGTCCCAGGTTCGATTCCGGTCAAGGGCATGTACCTGGGTTGCGGGCACATCCCTAGTAGGAGATGTGCAGGAGGCAGCTGATCGATGTTTCTCTCTCATCGATGTTTCCAACTCTCTATCTCTCTCCCTTCCTCTCTGTAAAAAATCAATGAAATATATTTTTTAAAAAAATCAGGAAACTAGTTTACTATTTTCATCAAACAATTCTACAGCCTGTTAGGTTGACAGTCTGAGCTCCAGAAATTGCCAGGGTTCAAATCCCAGCTACACCACACACAACAGTGAAATGCTCCTGTGTGAGAACTCAGAACCTTCATTTTCTACAACTGGAAAATGGGATTAATAATAATAAGAACTCCTCCACTGAACTGTTGAAAGGTATGAGTTAAAACCTGTAGTGTTCTCAGAGCAGTGTGTGACTCATACCCAGTGCTTAATCAAATGTCCACTGTAATCATTGCTAAAAGTCTTTTAAAAAAATAGATGTTTTAAAACCAAAACATAAGATATTCACTCAGTAATTTGTGTGTCCCAATTTCTCCAGCCAGGGGCCATGGATTATTAACTGTAACCACTTACCATTTTGTTCATTACTTCCTATGTGTTTGCATTACCTTATTAAAATCCTCAGAAGAACCTTATGAAGAATTATCTCAATTTTATAAAAAGGAAACTGAGGTTTACAGAAATTAATTTACCGCATTGGACTACAAACTCCCTTAAGGCTGAGACCCTATCTGCCTTGTTCCTTGCTAGGTCCTCAGTGCCTAGCACACTGCAATATAAATAACCGTGGAACAAACACCCAAGAGCCCTCGCAGAGCTGGGAGATGAGCCCAGGGACATCTAGCTCCGAAGTCCACACACTGACCACCCGTCTATGGTGCCCGCATTTTAATATAACCAATGTTTTACAACCCAACTGTTTTTCAGCCATTCCAGAAAAAGCAACTTGTCCTCAGGAAAGAGGTTTCACGTAAATATCTGAACTGAGGATGGAAACATCCCAAATACCATGTCTAGCCTACAATGCTTTCCCATCATACAATATGCTGTCCTGGAAAGGCACAACTGAGCCACCACCTAAAGGACTTTCTCAGGAATATAAAAATGTCTAATTCAGATCGTCATTTATCCATTCATCGACTACTGATTGTCCCAACGTTCTGCAATTCTCAGACTCTAGGGTAAATATAGTTTGTTTATAACTATTTACTAATTAGCATAGGACTAACAAAGATTTTATTTTACCCCAATATTCAAATATTATTGAAATCCAATGATGAAATCCAATGATTAGTCCACCTGCAGTTCTGGAACCTTCCTGACGAAGAAAATCTTTTTTTAGCACTAACTTTTATTTGCCAATTCCACAGAATCTGGCATACACAGCGGTCTCCCTAAAAAGCCTCTGAAAGCAGATTCTCGAAGTTGGAAGGGAACTTACAGTTCACCCCCAAACCCAGTTTGCGAATTCTCTCCCCAGGTTGGCTAGTCTCAGCTTCATTCCCTCACAGGATGAGGAAGCTAGTTACCTCCGAGGCATGTGCCCCTTGTTTGGACCAGTCTAATCATTCAAGGAGTTCAAGGATTCTAACAGAGATGTTATGATATACCTTTAACTTCTCCCCGCCAGCACCTGACGCCCGGAGGCACCGGAAAGAATAACTCAAGCCTGTCTTGCACATGACAATCCCTCATTTCTTTGAAGCCAGCTGTTATGCCCTCCTTAAGTCCTCTCCTCTTGCTTCTCTAAGGCTACAGAATACATAAACACCTCCAATTTCTGCTACCCTCCCTCAGATGACATGGCATCAGGTTACCTCACTCTTCCGCTCACACCCCTCGGCACAAGCTCTAGTTGGTCAATGTCCCGCTCTATTGAAAGGAGCTGACCAGAGCAGGACACAGGATTCCCCCGGGGGGTCTGTACCGTTCAGAGCAGGGTAAGATGACTAAATTGCTCCGGTTGTTCCCCAGAAGACAGGCTGTGCGAGGGCCTGGACAGTGGCTGGAGCAGTCATCGCTGGATCCCCAGTGCCCAGCACAGAGGCTGGCACGGATTATGGAAGACATCTGTTGTTGTTTGCAGTTTGTTGCTTCAAGACACTAAATATCTCCCGGGCTTGCCTAATTTTTCTGGCATTCAGTTCACAGTTGACTCATATTTAGGTGACTGTCAACTAAAACTGGAGTTTGCCCCACATGTGCTGCTGCTGCGACTTCCTCTACTCTGGACTCGTGCCATAGATTTTTCCCTGGACTAAGGTGCAGTATCTAAAATTAGTCACCCTTAAATGTCATCATGAGAGAGATATGCCTGGAAATGCAGAGAATTTCTCTAGAAGGATACATAACAGGTAGGAAATGTGGTGGCCTCCAGGGAGGCAGACTGGCTAGCTGGGGGAGGCGGCTGGGAAAGCAAGAGCTTTGGTTTTCACTGTATAACCTTTTGTATTTTTAATTTTCTATTGTGTGAGTACACTGTTTATTTTTCAAGTAACAAAAACTAACTCTCCAGAGAAGATAAGGAGGATAATTTTTTTTTCACTTTGGTCTACCCAGTCTGAGCTGTTTTGGAACCTGAGTCTACCCCATATTCCTTTAACTTTTTTTCAGTATCACCCCTACCCCCAGGAGTCCTGTAAGTCATTTTTTTCCTAATAACTCCCCATAGAATTTGAATTCCACTGATATACTACGTATCTGTTTATGTCCTGTACATAAGGAGTTCTATCAAGGTTACTCTTCAGTAAGAATAGCTAAATTTAAAAATTAAAAGTTAAACATTAACATTTAACTTTTACATCTGTATTTGCTGTATAACTTTTAATGTAATGTGTTTACTTAGATAAATGATCATGTATCAACCTACATATGCAAATTATATAACTATATAAGAGCAATGTAATTAAAATCCTCCAAAATTGTTATTTTTCCAGCAAAAGTAAAACATTGAAAGAAATTAAATAAATTTCTTAAAAGTTATGTTTAGTAACATTAACTTTTAACTTTTGTTTGATATGTGAAAATAACTTTTAATTTAACTGGCTGCTAGATATTGTCAACATTTCTCCTTTTCAATGCTTGACATAATGAGCGGTTGAATATTTTTTGTAGAATTAGGTAACAAAATATAAACTATTTTTGTTTACTTCTCAAATCCAAGTTCATTAAAAAGCACTGAGGAGCCCTAGCCAGTTTGGCTCAGTGGGTAGAGCATTGGCCTGTGGACTGAAAGGTCCCCAGTTCGATTCCGGCCAAGGGCACATGCCCAGGTTGTAGGCTCGGTCCCCAGTGTGGGGTGTGCAGGAGGCAGCCCATCAATGATTCTCTCTCATCATTGATGTTTCTTTCTCTCTCTCTCTCTCTCTCTCTCTCTCTCTCTCTCTCTCTCTCTCTCCCTTCCTCTCTGAAATCAATAAATATATATATAAAGCATTGAGGATCAAACACAAATATCCACAAAGCAGCCAGTAGGCACATGCATTCCATCTGCTGAGATGGATGGAGCAAACCATCAAGAGAGAGTCTGCCAATCACAGCCATCAATTTGTCATAGTTTTGTAGCACTGCCCTTGCGTATGTGTAGTGTATTTTGCATGAACTCAATACTGTCAGTTGCATAAGTTTTACTCCACCCCCCAATAAAAAGGAATGAGAGAAATTAAATACTAAAGAATAAGATTTTGTCGGGTAGGTTTTAGCTTTGGAGGGACCCTCTAAGATTTTTTTCGGTCCCCAAGAACCAATTTTCACCCTCACGGAAGCAATACGGCTTCCCTTCTCTCCGGGCCCCATTTTAAAAGCATAGTTCTTGCTTCCAAGCAAACCTACCTGAATGATGAATCTTGCCCTACTGGAAACTTGGTCCAGGGAAAACCCACTTCCCCCAGCCCTTATGAATCCAAATCCCAACTTTGGGCAGGTCATTAAATTTCTCTGAATATTAGTTTCCCTACCTGGAAGATAAGATTCGCAAAGCCTACTTTGTACGAGTCCTTGTAAAAAATAAAGGCCACATCTGTAAAGAGCCAAGCACACTGTACTTAATGAATGTTAAGCAGGGCACAGATACAGGTGGGACATGCAGAATGCCCGCTTAGTATGGCAATAATGACCTTTCTCCAGGCAAAATGCCAATTTAGTCCTTTCCGTCTTTATACCTTTACTATTCCAGTAAGTAGGACCGAACTCTGGATTATGTGGAGAAAGAAAGGATGTTTTAACTGCTCTCACTAAAAATCAGTAACCAAAGGAGAATATAGAGCCTTTCAAATTCCTTACTGGGCATATTCCATGGGGATAATCACATATACTTTTCAACAGTCTCAACATGAAAAATAAATGATAGAAAGCAGTGCTGTTCTTTCTGCATCCTGAAAAAAGTTTGCCTTGAAGAATAAGTATTTCCAAACTCTATTTTCAGATTCCCCGATGACAAGAGGGGGACGACCCAACCTTATCTGTACATCCTTTCCACCTGATGTGAAATGTTAATCTCTGAAATGTATGTACTTCTCGCTCACTCTACCTATACAAGCAGCCCTCACGCTTCCAAGTTAAAGCACAGTTTTAAGGCTTCGCAGAGTTCTTCTCTCGGGCATGTCCTCAATTTGACCCAAATAAAAACTTTTTTCTTCAATTTATAGAGGTCCAGTTGTTCTCCGTTGACAATCTCAAATTTTACCATTTCAAAACCCCCGGAGAGTGAGAAGTAGTGGATAAACAACTTCAGCAAGTAGACATACGCAGCTCCCGTCCGCAGAAGGGATCTCTCTCTTACAAAGCGGGGGGATGCGCTCACTATTTCTCAAAGTATCCCCGGGAGCCCGCTAACAGCTTAGGGTGCTGAGGGCGCCCTCCCAGTCCAGCAAGTCCAGCCGACCCGGAGAGAAAACAACGGGCAGACGCGCCTCCTCCTCCCCCACCCGCAGCCGCAGGAAAAGGCTGAGCCCGGCGAGGCGGAAGCTCCAAGGCACCAGGAGAGACCCGGAGGCAGCGCAATCTCGGCGGCTCGGGGCCGGCCTCGCACTGCCCTGAGGCGGCTGCGGGCCCTCACCTGGACGTCGGCCCTGCCACTCGGCCCACAGCAGGGTCAGGTCGCCATCGGCCCGCAGGAAGCGCACCAGCTGCACCACCAACGCGAGCAGCGCGCACAGCGCCAGTAGCCAGAGCAACAAGTCCCAGCTCATCGCGGCCGCGCGCCCGGCTCCGCGGGAGAAGACGGACCGCGCCCCAGCGGCGCCGCAGCTCCGGGATCCGTGCGTCCGCCTCCCGCTCCGCCCTCGGGTAGCGCCGCCGGGCTCCGCCCCGCCGCACCACCTCCGGGATCCCCCCCCCCCCCCCCCCGCTGCGCGCGTGGGCGTGGGGTGTACCCGCTCGTCGGGCCGAGAGTAGCCGGCCCAGCCGTTGCTGCGCAAGTGCAGCCTGCGTGTGCGTCCAAGAAAGGGTTGCGGTAGGAGCAAAAGGCTTGGATTTGTGATATCAAAACCGATTCTTTAGCAGTTGTTTTGAGGTCAGTTTTCAGGGCTCTGGTTGTGTGCACAGGAAGACCACAAATATTTCGACCTAAGGACGCAGCCTCCTCCTCCCCCTTTTTCTTCAACTTAAATGAATCGAACAAACCACCAAATCGACCCAACCCAACCCCCATCGAATTAACACAGTCTCTGAGTTAAATTGGTCCCGTGTCAACTTAAATTTGGAAACCACGTTGCAAATGACATTTGCCTCGTTGCTGGACCAGAAAGTGCAACTTCGGCCGTAACTGGCCATGAGCACTAGCTCTGGGAGCTTGGATTGGGAAGCTGAGCCAGACGCAGTTGAAGTTTAACTGCGCAAAGCTGATTAAATCATCTACTTATCTGTGCGCACAAAGAATATGGAAGATGACTTAAAAAGTGCCCGTGATGTGGCTCATACACAGTAATTAATTCTTTTGTACTTATTACTATTCATTAAGTATCATTATTACTTACTTATTGTTTCAATTATTATAATTTCTTAGACTTCAACCTGAAAGTCAGGGACTTTGTTTACAAACTTGTATATTCTGCACCCATAAAGTTCCCCTCGCACGTGAGAGCGATAAGAATGTTTAAATTGTGATGAATCAGAAATTGTTAGATGGTGTTGGATTCCTCGAGGAAGCTGTGAGCTAGCGAAACTTTGATCTCAACTGATTGTTTACCCCAATTACAACTTGCAATAATATTGCTAGGAGTTGCCCTCATTGGTTTGTCACCTTTGCAATAGGGGTTTATCTTCCTTATGAAGAATGACTTTTAAAATAAGATGCTTAAAAATACCACACTAAGTCTCGCGATAGTGAACAAACTGTTTCCTCTGAGCCTATTTCCCTTCTTGTAAAATATAAGGGTTGAGTTAGATTTAGTGTTCCCAGCCAGACACCATACGACGGATGAATAACTGGATTCCTATCACAAACTCCAGCTGTTGGGAGGGTGAAAGGGGAACAGAGCTGCACGTTGCAATTAGGGCAGTGGGAGATGGAACAGCAGGTTCAGGACTGGAAAAACTCACCAAAAGAATAAAATCTCTAATCTGTCCAGCCCTACATATTAAGAAGTCTATGTGAGCTCTGAATGTCTAAGTCTCAAAAATGTGTCTTTGCACCTTAGCTAATTTGGCTCAGTGGAGAGAGCACCAGCCACAGACTGAAGGGTCCTGGGTTTGATTCCCATCAAGGGCTGGATCCTCGGCCCTGGATGTAGGAGGCAACCAATCAATGTGCCTCTCTCACATTAATGTTTCTCTATCTCTCCCCCTCCCGTCCATTCTCTCTAAAAATCAATGGAAAACATCCTTGGGTAAGGATTAACAAAAAAAATATATGTGTCTTTGCTTTTTAATCTGATAATTTGTCCAGTATAAATGTCTCATTCATTCCAGTGTATGTACTTACTGTAAACTCATATACATAATTTTAGGTACATGAATTTATAAGCTGTGATGGTTAATGTTATGTGTTGGCTTGGCTAGACCATGGTGTCCAATTTTTGGTCAAACACTTGTCTAATTGCTGTTATGAAGGTATTTTGTAGATGTGATTAACATTTAAATTAGTAGACTTTGAAAAAAGCAAATTAGTCTCTATAATGTGATAGTTCTCATCCAATCAGTTGAAGGACTTGAGAAAGAAAAAAAAAAAGACCAAGAAGATGGAGTTCTGACTTCAGACCACCTTTGAACCTGAGCTGCAATATCAGCTCTCCCTTAAGTCTCAGATTGCTGGCAAATTTCAGACTTAATGGCCCCCACAATCAGTGAGCCAGTTCCTTACAGTAAATCTTTCTGTATATATATATGTATATATGTGTGTATGTATTTCCTATTGGTTCTATTTCTGTGGAGAACCCTGACTAATACCCAAACTATAAAAAAACCAGACAGTCATGTCACCTCAACAGCAGTTCATGCATTGGAAAATGAAAACAACAAATTAATATACAAATTTCAACATCAGAAATTTTAATTTCCCTGAAGAGAGGCATAATTCATTTTGGAATTCAACTATGTTTAAAGAATCTGTTACTCTCATCAGAAAAACAACTATTATAACTAATATCTTTGCAGTGCAAAATTGTCCAT